TCCGTTCCCGGCAAAGACTTTGAGAGTTCCGATTCTCGCTCACGACCACCAACGCCCGTGACGATTAACTGAACCGGTTCTAGGCCACCCCTAGGTCGACTCAGTGCCAAATGCGTACCTGGTGCGATGTGTAAACAATTGCGACTCAGGAGACAAAGGCGGCCGAGCGAGGTGCTGGCAAACCATCATCACCTCGTGTGCCGTGCCGGCCTTCATAGGTGCTGCTCGCTAACAACACTTGCCCCAACAGTCTGTTGAGGTTACACGGGGGTTCTTTGTGTTTAATATGTGGCGCACGTGCTCTCAGTGAGCACTGCATTCAACGAGCACGAAGGACACAGCAGGAGCTGTCAGTGTCGCTGATGTCGAGTGAATTGATGTGGAATGTACTGTCGGTTTTGCAGATTTGTTTTCAATCATGAAGTAAGTCCTTTCCAATCCAAGCCACGTCGTTTTTTCGCCATCTGGCGCGCATTGCACCGTAGAAGTACAGTATAACAACGAGTCTTGCTGATGTTTAAGTTAAATTAGCTTGAAGAATTCAAGTTGCTGGAGAAGTTCATGATATTGTCCTTGTTACGTTTTATGCTGCGGACAGTCGCTTCACCCATCCCGTAACTTGCAGCAAGACCCATAGTAGAGGTGTTTTGGTTTAGATCGCGTAAATATAAACGTGTCGTGAAACCCGCCACCACCCGACACAGCCAGTCAGTAAGGTTTGGCAGGTAAACGTGGGTACTGCCGTACACCGCAGTCACCCTTTTCCGCCAGCAGCCAGCGCTATGCCACTACACGAGTACAGCACTAACCAGTGTGTTGGAGAGCAAATCCACAACATTTACAATCTGAGTACGACGTTTCCGCAGTAATTACAACGAGCATCATCAGGCGGACAGCCAGATATGCAGCAAGATGTTTTATGGAAATGCCATCTTCCAATTTCCGCATAATATCCAGTGTCTGATTTAAAGTGAAAACAACGCGCTTCCCTTTCTCAGCCATCGCACAATTGTGTAAATTAAAACTCACAAAATAAATGATCGGATAAATCACTCAAAATGAAGCACAACTGACGATCTTCATTGTTACTCTTTCGATTTAGAACGAAGCCTAACCATCGACTGATTGATGCGCGTGCTCAGTGATAACACTTTCCTGCTCCCGCGCAGAAGACTCGGCCCACTAAGTGGACAGCAGCAGAGCCACGCCAAGAGCAATCAAACTCCGCCCACTGTTGTATGCAACTACTATACTGTAGAGGCGATCACGTGGATTTAGGATGAACCAGAGCACATATTTGTTCAGTTTAGGCACCCGACTTGTAATCAACATATCCAATAATAACAATGTATAGCTGTCTTTAGATTATTAATTTGGGCTTTAAGGAAAATCCCTAAGTTATTAATTTACTTTCCAATCTAATAAACCGCACACGGATAATCGAGATAGTATACCGTGGTTTCTCTGTGTGAGTGTGCCACTGTGTGAGTTTATGGGTCTCTGTGTAAGCCTATGAGTCTCTATGTGAGCCTATGGGTCTGGGTGGGTGTATGGGTCTCTGGGTGAGTCTATGGGTCTCTGCGTGTGTCTCTGTGTTGGGGCAGCAGTAGTTCAGCGGTGAGTGTGCTGCTCTACGGAACGTGCGGGAGGCGATTTTACTTTTGAGGACAAGGCCGACACGCCACGTTCACATTTAAATACGAGTCAGGCCACCGTATTCACGCAGCCAGATCAAATTAGGCCAATGAAGCGGATTCTGTGAGGCGCAGGACAGAAACGACGCTCATTACATGGCGGTGAGGTCGCCGGAGTCAAACTGGGAAAGTCGAGCCCCCCCCCCAGCCGCCCCCCCCTCCCCTCACCCCCCTGGTGAGCGAGGCCTGACCGAGGGCCCCAATGGGGGTGGTGAGTGGGACTTTTTTATAATTAAAATTTTTATTTTACCAGGTAAGGCCCCACTGAGCTATCGAGCTCCTGTTCAGGAGCGACCTGGATATCACCAACGATCGCTCAACGAAGTGGCTTCATGTCACCACGGTGGACATTTGTAGCAGTAGCCAAGAGCTGTTCTCCTGACCAGGTATCGGCAACCAAAATAACAAGAAGAGCCGATTTCTTTCGAATTCAGTAATAAAAATATTTCAAGAGCAGGGTCGGGATCGAACCCACGACCTCCTGCATACCCGGCAAGGCGGTTCACATCTCACAACCGTGGCACCCCGATATATTATGTTTAAATCACCCACAGTAATAACCAGGGTGGCCGCTGCATTCGAACCGTGAACCTTTACAATGCTACCGCTGGGCCACGTCTCGCCGCACAAAGCGCGCCATGACTAAACACACGAGTATCCTTTTCTAATCACATAGGGGTGACACGTGGTTTAACATCCTCCCTTGCCTATGCTGTTTCCGGCAGTTCACCAGCAGTGGCTCAAGCAAGCCCGACCCTGCTGATGAGACACTGAATGTCAAAACCGGCGCAGAACTTGCTTGTATTAAACCGGTGCTGCTGATGGGATCCACTTCCACAATGCCGTGTGGCTGATGGAATGCGTAAATAAATCACTCATATGTGGAGGAGGCATCATATCAGTTGATATCACTTTGTTATGGCCCTCCTGTATCATCGCCTTTCATCCATGTCATTGACGACACGGGTGAATGAGACGAAGGGAATGTTATCTGTTTAGTCAATAGCATTCTGGACGAGGACGGCTTCACGATCGCGTCTCGTGTTGTAAGCATCGCCTTACATCGCCCTGAAAGAAACGAACCCGATTTTTTTGTTTTACATACGAAATATTGTTAATTAGCCGAATGCAATTACAGGCTTCTCACGACTTAGGCTTGTTAATCCACAAAAGTGTCACTGTCGCGAGAGATTAGGCCGACTGCTGAAAGCAGGTGGAGGGAGTGGGGGGAGGTGAGTGAGGGTAGGTGAGGGTAGGTGAGTGAAGGTGAGTGAAGGTGATTCAGTAAGTGAAGGTGAGTGAGTGAGGGTAGGTGAGTGTAGGTGAGTGAGTGGAGGCGATTGAGTGAGTGAGTGGAGGTGAGTGAGTGGAGGCGATTGAGTGAGTGAGTGGAGGTGAGTGGAGGTGAGTGGAGTGAGTGTAGGTGAGTGTAGGTGAGTGAGTGTAGGTGATTGAGTGAGTGTAGGTGAGTGCAGGTGAGTGAGTGTAGGTGAGTGAGTGTAGGTGAGTGAGTGTAGGTGAGTGAGTGTAGGTGAGTGAGTGGAGGCGATTGAGTGAGTGAGTGGAGGTGAGTGGAGGTGAGTGAGTGAGTGTAGGTGAGTGTAGGTGAGTGTAGGTGAGTGCAGGTGAGTGAGTGTAGGTGAGTGAGTGCAGGTGAGTGAGTGTAGGTGAGTGAGTGTAGGTGAGTGAGTGTAGGTGAGTGAGTGTAGGTGAGTGAGTGTAGGTGAGTGAGTGGAGGCGATTGAGTGAGTGAGTGGAGGTGAGTGGAGGTGAGTGAGTGAGTGTAGATGAGTGTAGGTGAGTGAGTGAGTGTAGGTGAGTGAGTGAAGGTGAGTGAGTGTAGGTGATTGAGTGAGTGTAGGTGAGTGCAGGTGAGTGAGTGTAGGTTAGTGAGTGTAGGTGAGTGAGTGAGTGTAGGTGAGTGAGTGAGTGTAGGTGAGTGAGTGTAGGTGAGTGAGTGTAGGTGAGTGAGTGTAGGTGATTGAGTGTAGGTGAGTGAGTGAGTTAGGGTAGGTGAGTGTAGGTGAGTGAGTGGAGGCGATTGAGTGAGTGAGTGGAGGTGAGTGATTGAGTGGAGGTGAGTGGAGGTGAGTGAGTGAGTGAAGGTGAGTGAGTGTAGGTGATTGAGTGAGTGTAGGTGAGTGAGTGAGTGTAGGTGAGTGAGTGAGTGTAGGTGAGTGAGTGAGTGTAGGTGAGTGAGTGAGTGTAGGTGAGTGAGTGAGTGTAGGTGAGTGAGTGAGTGTAGGTGAGTGAGTGTAGGTGATTGAGTGAGTGTAGGTGAGTGAGTGAGTGTAGTTTGGTGAGTGAGTGAGTGTAGTTTGGTGAGTGAGTGAGTGTAGGTGAGTGAGTGAGTGAGGGTAGGTGAGTGAGTGGTTACGTCCGTGATGGGCTGCAGGGTGGCGCCTGCGGGAACTCCGGCGCCCCGCAGCAAGCGGGGCTGGGCTCGAGTCCCGACTCGGGACGCGTGTCTGCGTGCAGTCCCGTCAATGTTCTTCCCCCTGCTTCTGTTTGGGGTTTCTCCGGATTCTATCTCCGCTTCCCCCTCCCCCGTAGGTGAAGATCAGATACAGTGGGGGTGGTCCTGGCCCAGACATCGCGAACGATAACACAAAAACGTACCATAATAGGTTTTTTGTGGGTTAGATCGCGTAACTATATAAATGTGTCGTTAAACCCGCCACCACCCGACACAGCCAACTAGTAAGGTTTGTCACGTAAACAGAACGTGGCCAATTTGTTACTCGTACAGCACACCAGTGTATAATAATAATGATAACAACGATACGAATATATGTTAATTATGCGAGGAGTTTAGGCAATCGGATTTGTTGAGAAAAAAAGAAAAATTGCCCAATGGCCCAGTGAAGCCTGGGCACCTCTCAGTGTGAGCCTTAGTGGGGTCAAGGCACCTCTCGTGAGTGGCAGATCCACAGCAGGAGGGGAAGAGAACACGCAGGATTTTATTTATTTCGTAAATTATTGTAGGGCACTCTTTAAAAGGCTCGTGATTCCCCCTAGGGGGCGACATCTATATCCGCCTCTGCCCCTCGTTCCACGCGCTCACACGAGACGCTTCACGCGTGCGCTGCCCCCCCGCCCCCACGGGATACCGAACGACCATCGTAGTGATGTAAAAACTTCTGCCGCGGTCTATTTTCACTTTATTCATTTTTCTCCCGGAATACAAAACAGGCGCTCGCGACGACGACGACGCTGCCGCTGCGTGCGTCCGATGGTGCGCACGGCTAACCGGTGCCCGCTCTTCCTCTCTCCACCTCCTCCCCCTCCTCCCCCTCCTCGTCACAGACGAGCGTGCGAGAGGGTTTCCTGATGAAGCAGACGAGTTCGTTCCAGCGGTGGAAGCGGCGCTACTTCAAGCTGCGCGGACGCACCCTCTACTATGCCAAGGACGCCAAGGCGAGTGCCCGACCCCCCACCCACACCAAGGGTAATGCACCAAGGGTAGTGCACCACTCACACCAAGAGTAGTGCACCATTCACACCAAGAGTAGTGCACCACCTGCACCAAGAGTAGTGCACCACCTGCACCAAGAGTAGTGCACCACTCACACCAAGAGTAGTGCACCACCCACACCAAGAGTAGTGCACCACCCACACCAAGAGTAGTGCACCACCTGCACCAAGAGTAGTGCACCACCTGCACCAAGAGTAGTGCACCACTCACCAAGAGTAGTGACACTCACACCAAGAGTAGTGCACCACCCACACCAAGAGTAGTGCACCACCCACACCAAGGGTAGTGCACCACCCGCACCAAGGGTAGTGCACCACCCGCGCCAAGGGTAGTGCACCACTTGCACCAAGAGTAGTGCACCACTCACACCAAGAGTAGTGCACCACTCGCACCAAGGGTAGTGCACCACTCACACCAAGAGTAGTGCACCACCCACACCAAGAGTAGTGCACCACCCGCACCAAGAGTAGTGCACCACCTGCACCAAGGGTAGTGCACCACTCACACCAAGGGTAGTGCACCACCCGCACCAAGGGTAGTGCACCACTCACACCAAGAGTAGTGCACCACTCGCACCAAGGGTAGTGCACCACTCACACCAAGAGTAGTGCACCACTCGCACCAATAGTAGTGCACCACCCGCACCAAGGGTAGTGCACCACTCACACCAAGAGTAGTGCACCACTCGCACCAAGGGTAGTGCACCACTTACACCAAGAGTAGTGCACCACTCGCACCAAGAGTAGTGCACCACCCACACCAAGGGTAGTGCACCACCCACACCAAGAGTAGTGCACCACTCACACCAAGAGTAGTGCACCACCCACACCAAGAGTAGTGCACCACCCGCACCAAGAGTAGTGCACCACCTGCACCAAGGGTAGTGCACCACTCACACCAAGGGTAGTGCACCACCCGCACCAAGGGTAGTGCACCACTCACACCAAGAGTAGTGCACCACTCGCACCAATAGTAGTGCACCACCCGTACCAAGGGTAGTGCACCACTCACACCAAGAGTAGTGCACCACTCGCACCAAAGGTAGTGCACCACTCACACCAAGAGTAGTGCACCACTCGCAGCAAGAGTAGTGCACCACCCACACCAAGGGTAGTGCACCACCCACACCAAGAGTAGTGCACCACTCACACCAAGAGTAGTGAACCACCCGCACTAAGAGTAGTGCACCACCGCACCAAGAGTAGTGCACCACTCACACCAAGAGTAGTGTACCACTCACACCAAGAGTAGTGTACCACTCACACCAAGAGTAGTGCACCACTCGCACCAAGAGTAGTGCACCACTCACACCAAGAGTAGTGCACCACTCACACCAAGAGTAGTGCACCACTCGCACCAAGGGTAGTGCACCACTCACACCAAGGGTAGTGCACCACTCACACCAAGAGTAGTGCACCACTCGCACCAAGGGTAGTGCACCACTCACACCAAGGGTAGTGCACCACTCACACCAAGAGTAGTGCACCACTCGCACCAAGGGTAGTGCACCACTCGCACCAAGAGTAGTGCACCACTCGCACCAAGGGTAGTGCACCACTCACACCAAGAGTAGTGCACCACTCGCACCAAGGGTAGTGCACCACTCACACCAAGGGTAGTGCACCACTCACACCAAGAGTAGTGCACCACTCGCACCAAGGGTAGTGCACCACTCACACCAAGGGTAGTGCACCACTCACACCAAGAGTAGTGCACCACTCGCACCAAGGGTAGTGCACCACTCACACCAAGAGTAGTGCACCACTCACACCAAGAGTAGTGCACCACTCACACCAAGGGTAGTGCACCACTCACACCAAGAGTAGTGCACCACTCACACCAAGAGTAGTGCATCACTCACACCAAGGGTAGTGCACCACTCACACCAAGGGTAGTGCACCACTCACACCAAGAGTAGTGCACCACTCGCACCAAGGGTAGTGCACCACTCACACCAAGAGTAGTGCACCACTCGCACCAAGGGTAGTGCACCACTCACACCAAGGGTAGTGCACCACCTGCACCAAGGGTAGTGCATCACTCACACCAAGGGTAGTGCACCACTCACACCAAGAGTAGTGCACCACCCACAGCAAGGGTAGTGCACCGCTCACGTGCAGGCAGGAAGCGACGACTCGCACCCTGTCTGTGCCTCGCGTGCACGTGAACGGCGTGTCGTGTGTGCAGTGCTCTCAGCCTTGTCGACACCACCAACTCAAAGGAGTTGCAAGCGTCACTCGCTCTCTGTCAGCAGCTGTCTCTGAAGGGAGGGCCACATGATTCAGCACTTTGAAGTTGATGGTCTGAATAATAATAATACGGTACAAACACACGGCAAGTACACACGTAGGCTACGTACACACACACGCACGTACTCACACGTACTCACACGTACACACACACGCATGTACGCGCACGTACACACACGCGCACGTACACACACGCGCACGTACACACGTACACACACACACGCATGTACACACACACGCATGTACACACACATAACCTCTGCATGCACAGCTAGTTACAACCCACTGTGGGGGGGGGGGGGGCCCGAGGCATGGATGATTATCATTGTTGGGCTCCCCCTTCTCCACGTGTCCACTCCGAGTGAGGCGACACGAGAGATATGGACCGGTGACAGAGACGGAGCGAACACAGACTGATGTCTCACCACGAGACGAGGTGGGAGCACGTGGACAGATGAGGCGGGAATTGAGTGAAGCGAGCGAGGTGAAAACGGAGATACAAAGACGGCAGTGAGACGAGGAGAGACGAGAGAGATGAATTTGGTTTATTTGGCATCGAAATTCGAGCTGATGTTGCGATAAATATGGTTGCTCTCTCACGAGTACGGACCCCCCCCCCCTCCCCTTGAGCTACCTGGGGGCCTCCACTTCTGCTTGGTTCGCTGGCGCCTCGCGTGCCACCACTGAGCAGCGGCCGCCAGGGACTCGGCTTCAACGCAGCATCATCATCATCAGCAGCACAATCATCATCATTAGCAGCACAATCATCATCAGCAGCAGCACAATCATCAGCACCACCGTCATCATCACCACCATCATCAGCAGCACAATCATCATCATCTCCATCAGCAGCAGCATCATCACCATCACCACCATAATCATCGTCATCACCATCACCATCAACACCACCACAATCATCATCATCACAACCACTATCATCATCACAACCACCACCATCATCATCACCATCATCATCATTACCATTATCATCATCATCACCATTATCATCATCACCATTATCATCATCACCATTATCATCATCACAACCAACACCATCATCACCATTATCATCATCATCATCTCCAACACCACCATCACCATCCTCACCACGTTAACCAGGGACACCCCCCCCCCTCTCTCCGCTCGTGACAGTCGATCATCTTTGACGAGGTCAGCCTCACGGACGCCAGCGTCGCCGAGTGCAGCACCAAGAACGCCAACAACAACTTCACGGTCAGTGCAGCGCGGACACACACACGGGCACACCTCGCTCCCCTACCTCTCATCTCTCATCCCACTCCACTCCACACACTCCCCTACCTCTCATCTCTCATCCCACTCCACTCCACACACTCCCCTACCTCTCATCTCTCATCCCACTCCACTCCACGCACTCCCCTACCTCTCATCTCTCATCCCACTCCACTCCACACACTCCCCTACCTCTCATCTCTCATCCCACTCTACTCCACACACTCCCCTACCTCTCATCTCTCATCCCACTCTACTCCACACACTCCCCTACCTCTCCTCTCTCATCCCACTCCACTCCACACACTCCCCTACCTCTCATCTCTCATCCCACTCTACTCCACACACTCCCCTACCTCTCATCTCTCATCCCACTCCACTCCACACACTCCCCTACCTCTCATCTCTCATCCCACTCCACTCCCCTCCACGCACTCTCCTACCTCTCCCCTCTCATCTCACTCCACTCCCCTCCACGCACTCCCCTACCTCTCCCCTCTCATCTCACTCTACTCCCGGGTCTCTATGTGAGTCTATAAGTCTCTATGTGAGTCTACGGTGGTGGCGGTGGCGGTGGTGGTGGTGGCGGCGGCGGCGGTGGCGGCGGTGGTGATGGCGGCGGTGGTGGTGGTGGTGGTGGTGGGTGGTGGCGGCGGTAATGTGGCGGTGGTGGTGGCGGTGGTGGTGGCGGTGGCGGCAGTGGTGGCGGCGGTAGTGGCGGTGGTGGTGGCGGTGGTGGTCCAGGGCCCTCCTCCAGGAGGGCCGCGGAGCTGTGGCGCCAGCGCAGGTCGATCCAGAGACAATGACGATGCAGTTACCTTTTGTTTCGCACATTAATATTTTACTCATGGTATTTCATATTTCAAAGAAATGAAGTTAGGTAAGCTTCCGTGACAAACCTACTCTAACATCTAAAACATCTAAATGCCCCCCTCCCCCCACCACTTACACAAATAAATAATGTTTATTTTTATGTTCCAGTAAGAGGAATAGTTTCTGTATGACTGCCATTTAGAGTGAAAAGTTGAATGCGTCTTGTCACCCTCCTGGGGGTGTGGTGGGGTGGGGGCCGACGCAGCGCCCGGCCCGCGTCTCCTCCGCCCGTCCGCTTCCATCTCCGCCACGTTCCCCGAGGGGCACTTCGGGTGACCGCACGACCCCCCCCCCGCCACGCACCAGGATGGGCCGTCAGGTTGCGGAGCTCAGAAGCATTCGCCGTGGGGAGGGGGGCGGTGGCGGCGGTGGCGAGCAAATGGAAAAGACGGGGAACAAATCCACTCCGGCCTCCCTCGGCGGTTTTAAATTATAAAACAGACTGCGGACAAACAGCGGCGGCGGAAAGAGAGAGAGAGGAAATGTTTATGCCGCGACAGAAATAGCCACGGGCGCTTGGGACGCCTTGGTTAAGGGGGGGGAGGGGGTGATGGTGGAGGGGGGGGGTGACGATGACGTCGCCGATGTGCGGAGTGAGCGCGTGGGCGGTGTAGGAGCCGTGGCCTCGTGTGGCCGCCCAGGCTCGCTGGGTTCTGGCCGAGCGGACCTCTGCCGCGTGGGCGACACGACCAAACGTCGCACGGTGTAGCTCGCAGCAACAACAACAACTAAACGCGCCCCAAGGCACCCGCATTGTTGTTGGACAGAGATCGTCCCAGCGCCAGAGGCAGTGCGAGTGCGACCGGGATCGGGGTTAGCGGCAAAGGAGCCCGCACCCTGCCGGGATGACTTGGCAGGACCCTCCTCAGAGTCCTGAGACTCGGTCAGGCCTCCCTCGGTGAACAAGCAGAGCGATAATGAAGATGTAATATAATGAAGGCAATCGTATAATTACAATATTTCTGAATATTGTTGTTATTCGTAAGGTATGTTTTTTTGGGGCGATGCCACGTAATAATGTGGCCACATTTGCGTTGCTACATCACGGGACCTGCCTTGCCAGTATCAAAATATAAGAAGAGGTTTCACCCTTTTCTGGCAGTAAAAACACACCTCTGGTGTGGACCAATCCGTTTAAAAGACAATGCATCTCCTACCAGAGCATGGTTTACCACAGTGTGTGTGGTTAATGCAGTGACGTGACACCTTGCAAAAGGTTTCTGTTTGGACTTTTAACATCTTAACAGCGTACGCCTTTTGGCGTCCTCTGGTCGAGCACCAATTGGGTCGAGGCTCAACAGAAAGCCAGTCCCTTGGTGTGGACCAATCAATTTCAAGGACAATGCATATATTATCATAGTGTGTTTTTTGTTTGAATTTTGACTGCAAGTATTGTGGTTAATGCAGACACGAATCCTTGTAAAAAGGTTTCAGTTTTGTTGCCAGAAAAAAGGGGAAAACCCCTATTATTATTATCTTAACAGCTGTGTTGTTGCCAGAAAGGGTAAACGCTATTCTTACACATTTGTGTTGTAACTCCCCCCACATCACCAAATCCAGCCATACAGATTAAATTGTCACGCACACAAGCGTTTGACGATGCACCACCCACTAACTGCAGCGTGGGTTTAGCTCGCCCACCGACAAGTGGCATAAATGACTCACATTTAGACTTAGCACCTGCGGTGTTTAACGCATTGAGTCCATTTCGATTATTTTGCAGCGGCGAAAAATGTCCAAATGTTGGGGCCACTTTGTTGCGCTCTCATTTGTGGTGGCCAGGTGGTCGCTTCTGAGCAAATACGTCAATACCTCAGTGGGCTTTGCCTGGCAGGATGGGCGTGGTTGAGTGTTGTATTTGTTTGTGTTTGGGTGACGTGTTACCTTACCTGTGCACTACCATCGTGTTTGTTGTACTGCTTGTGGTTGTGTCGCTCTCACCCGCCCCTACTGGACATCTGCGCAAAAGAGCTTTGCAGCTCATCGGATTCCTCCAGTATCAATACAGACTCTGAGATCATCATGATCATCATCATCATCATCAGCAGCAGCAGCAGCCATGGTCGATCCACTGCTGGATGAAGGCCCCCCAAGCCCGCCGCCAAGCTCTTTAACAAACCGACCACACACGGCCCTCTACTGAATCTGGTTTCCACTCGCCTCGTCCCGCACTCATTTTGGAATCGTGATTTTTATTTATCCTGCAAAGCTCTTTTTCACTCATGTCCAGTATCTTATTTTCTGCATCCTTAAAAAAGTTAGTGATTTTCTAAACGGTATTATATAGTTTTTGGGGGTTAGATCGTGGTATGATTGTACTTCATATATGATAGGGAGTTGTTTAATTGTGCTATGTGTATTCATAGATACACAAAAAATTGCACATCGGACCCTTGGTCCGGAATGTAACCAACGATTATATAATCATTTCTCTGGGAAAATCCGTCTCGACTTACGGCACCTTTTCTAGGAACGTGCCCTGACGCATGTAATCTTCATTTGTAACGGAAGTACAAAAAGACAAAGATCTCCGTATAGCCTTAACAGACTGTAGGGGCAAGTGCTGTTAGGCGAGTAGCACCTATGAAGTCCGGCACGGCACACGGGGGGGGGGGGGTGACCAACATCACTTCCCGACCACCTTTGTCTCCCCAGTGCTGATGTTTACACACCGCACCAGTTGCTCATTTGAGGCCGAGTCGACCTCGGGGAGGCCCCAGGACCAGTTCAGATAATCGTCATCGGTGTTGGCCGTGAGCGGGAATCGAACCCTGGTCGTCAGCTTCGCAGCGCAGCGCTGACCGCGACACTTCCCAGCGGAGCTCAAACAAGCGACGGGATCGCAACTCGACATTAATTGCGTGGCGTAAATTCAAATAAATAAATAACTAGAGACCCACACGCACGCGCGACAAAATAATCGCACGCAAAAGAAAACCTCTGGGGACAATAGCCGCGATGGTCGTCAGCAAGTGGGAGACGACGGCGAGAGTGTTGCGGGCACACACAGAGTGCCCCCGTGGGGAGAGAGGGCTATCAACACCCCCACCACCCACCCCCACCACCCCCACCCCCACCACCCCCACCCCCACCACCACCACCACCCCCACCACCACCCCCACCCCCACCACCACCCGCACCACCACCACCACCCCCACCCACCCCCACCACCCCCACCCACCCCCACCACCCCCACCCCCACCACCACCCCCACCCACCACCACCCCCACACTTCGCTTCACCGCGCCGCGCGCCGTGCCGGCTTCCTGCGATTGTCGGACGCAGAAATCGCGGAGTGACGGAGCGAGGGCCCCCTTCCTGCTTCCCACCTTTGTCTCCCCACCACCACCACCCTCTTTGTGACGTCACGCCACAGCCTTGACCCTCCCCCGCTTTCCGCAAACACACACAGATCCACACACGCAGATCAACACACACACCGACCCCCCCCCCCCCCCCACACACACACAGATCCCCCCCACACACACACAGATCCACACACACAGACCCCCCCGTTTAGTCGTCCACTCACCGCTGGTGCCACGCGCCTGTTGTTTCTCTAAGGCTGGGGCAGTGTTGATGTTTACACACGGTACCTGCTACGGGTGCCGCGGTGGCTAGGAGATGTGAACTGCCTCGCCTGGTCTACAGGAGGCCGTGGGTTCCATCTCGACCCTGACGCCTGCTGCTGTGTATTTGGAGTTTGCGTGTCTCTCTCTCTCCATGGTCGCGTGGATTTTTCTCCGGGTCCTCCGGTTTCCCCTCTCCACATTTAGAATCCACATCACGCGTTTCGAGTGTTTGGCTGCTCTAAATGTCCACGTGACGATGATCGGCCACTTCGTTGAGCGATCATTGTGTGACCAGGTGGCTTCTGACAAAGGGAGCCACGCAGCCTCGGTGTGGGCCTCTCACACCTGGGCCGAGTGAAAAATTAAAAATAAATAGAAAGTTTGAGCCAAACGAGTCGGGGTGGGCTCCGGGAGTGGTTCAGACACCACCCTCCACTGATGTTCAACTCAGGTGTCCGGGGTGCGTGGTGAGCAACCAGACACACACTCAGACACACAGACACACACAGACACACAGACACACACTCAGGCACACAC